TAAGTATATTTGACTAATTATTTTGGGAAAAGATATTCATCTTTGTGTTAGGAAATTATAATTTGATTGCTAATATAATAAGAGTCTGTGTTTGGAACAAATGAGTAATCTAATTTTATGGCAATGTATTTAGAGTATAATTTGTTTTGTCTTATTAATAAGAAATTTTAATTCTTATATGAATCATCCTATCACATTTTAATAAATTCTATTTACTAATTTTATAGTTCTTATATTTTAATATTTATTTGACTTATTAAAATGTTATATAAGATCTGAAATCTTCATTCATGATACTAAAAAGTTCATGGGTTTTTCCTCTTTCTACATTATGTAGTTTTATCCTCATATTAAATCTACAGCTATATTGAGAAGACTAGCAGTTCTATCTGTACTCTGATTATATATATATATTCCTTAAACTCTTTAAAAGACTCAGTCAAAAAACTGAAAAGTGGTCATATGTTGTTTATAGTGATATATTTCAACCATTAAGTTTCTTGTGAGTGGAATTTTGTAAAATGTGATGCAGATCAGAATTTGGGGACATTTAGGAAACTAAAATATATATAGTAGCATACCAGATGGCTACAGCTACACAGAGAGATAGTTTGAGAAGCTACAAAACAACCCGCTCCATTGTATTCAATGAGTTCTAATACATAAAGAAATGCAGTGAAACTCTCCAAAGATGCAGAAAAAAAATAATTATAGAAGAAAAATCCCATCAAATCCTGTGAGAGAAGATTTGCTGGTAGGGTACTGAGAAACTTCATAATTTACTAGCAGAGTCAAATGAGCTCCACCATAAAAGTTGTCTCATAGCCAGGCATGGTGGCGCACACGTGTAATCCCAGCATTCAGGAGGCTGAGGAAGGAGGATTGCTGTGAGTTTGAGACCAGCCTAGGCTACATAGTGAGTTCCAGGTTGGTCTCAACTACATAGTGATACCCTGTCTCAATCAAACAAACAAGCAAACAAAAGCTGCATTATATTTGTTATGTTAAGCATGGATACAAGACTTGAAGTGATCAAACTCTGCCCAATTAACTGTGCTTAATAAACACCCAATTTATTTATGAGGGACATAGCAAATATTAGACTAGCACCATAAAAATCACAGTTTGTGACACGTGATGAGAAAATAATCAAGTGTACAAAAAGAAAAGCAAGAAAAACCATAGAAACACCTGTCTATGGAAACAGAGATTACATAATTTGAAGTCAAATGAAAATAATTTGAAAACCTTCCTAATCAAGAAAATAAAGAATGTAAATGTACTTTAAAAATGCAATAATCATAAATTAAAATCCACATGGAACTTCAAAAACTGAAAAAATATACACAAACTTCAAGAAAAAAAAACACGAGTATGAGAATTACAATAGATAACATGAAGGAAACAACTGGTGATCTTGATGACATAATATACATTCACTAATAACCACATAATGAGAAAAGAACACAAAAAATAGCAAAATATAAAAAAAATGTGGAACAGAAACAAATGGTATAATGTAATATGTAATGGGGTGCCAAATGGAAAGGAAAAAGAGACGTTAAAGAATCAGTATTTAAACAATGGATATCCCAATTTAATGTCAAATAAACAGTGAGAGCTGAATGGAGAAATGTGTGTTCACACACACACACACACACACACATACACACACTCACACAAAACAGCCAAAAAACAATGATAAAATGAAGCTATGAAAAGCTGGAGAAAAAAAACAAACACTGGGCTTTGTCAAACAAAAGTAAAATTTTGAGCAAATTATTATCAGGAATTGTGGAGGAGAGAAAACACTAGATAATCTTAAACTACTGAAAGGTAAAACAAAATTGTTAAACTAGAACATTATTTTGAGAGAAACATATTTCATTAATGAAGGCAAAACAAAGACTCCTCAGGCCAGGAGTTTCTGAGGGGATTCAGTCACAGAACGCCTATATGACAAGAAATGTTAGGAAATACTGGCATAAGAAAAATTCTACCCACTGGGCATGGTGGCACATGCCTGTAATCCTAGAACTTCAGAGGCTGAGGCAGGAGGATCTCTGAGTTCCAGACCAGCCTGAGCTACATAGTGAGTTCCAGTTCAGTCTCAACTACATAGTGAGACCCTGTCTCAAAAATAGCAATAACAAATGAATAAATAAATGAAAGAAAAATTCTACCAGGTATAAGAAAAACTCTACCAAACAGAAACATGAAACTATATAAAGGAACTAATATTGACAAATATGATACATACAATTTCATTATTTTATCATTTAAAATGTTCGAGATGTCTGAACATTTTACATAAACATAATAATGATAATTATATGTGAAGATTTTAAAACTATGCAATTGTAAGCTATGGCAAGACTAGTATGCCCAATTAGAAGACTGGGAAAAACACATTGTTTAAGCTGAGCTAAATCCTAGGTCTAAGGTAAGATTTTTAACTCATTAGCCAATAGATAAAATTGATTTTTTTTTAAATCAAAGATTATCAGAGGAAAAAGCAGCAAAATTATATAGAGGGAAAATAAATAGAAATTTGATAGATATAAGGACATAAGTGGAACATAATGGGAAATTCTGATCCAGCTGCAGAAAACCACAGTATTAATACAAATATAAACCATGTAGATGGTGTTCATGAGATTTCAAATAGGAATGTGGACTCTGTTGAGACCTGGATTAGCGATCATGCTTATTATTTTCTTGCAAAGAATTTGTCTATATTATGCACATTCCTTAAAATATGTGAGGCTGAATTTAAGGATAGTGGACTAATCAATTTGGCAGAAAAAATTTTGAGGCAGCCCAATAGTCAGGCTGTAGTATGGACAGTGTTGGTTACTTTTCTTTGATTTTACAGTGAGAATTGAAAGCAAAATTAACAAACAAAGGAACAAAATGTCATGAAAAATTGTATTTTAGACCCTAAAACTAGTGTATGTAAATCTAGGGTCAAAAGAAGTACAGCTACTGTAAAGATGAGCTTAACTAAAATAAACTCAAGTATGTTGAAGTAGGACAAGACTTAGCAAGCCGCCATCCATTTCAGGCTTACTGGTATCAAAGTATAAAATTTTTATTTCTGAAGAGATTACCTCAGACCCTTGGTAGAGAAGAGCCACATACAGAATTAGTTCCTCAGGTTTCATTTAATGCACTTGACTATCCAGACACTCAAAAGCCACTGAAGCTATGGTCCAAAGAAACCTATCTAATATTTGAAGCAGCAGCAGACATTGACTTCATCTTCACAATGCTGGTTTTTCAAGTACACACAATGCAAGACTTGTAGAGTCACAGAGGATTTGACTCAAATATAATAGGTCAGCCAGAAAGTTTGGTGCTAATAAATCGATGTATAAAAATGTAGGGATGAAGCTTCAGGTGCAATGGAGACTTCAGCAAGTCTGTAATGTGAGGAATCTGAAATGTCTGCCATGGAAAGTTACAGCTAATCAGCAGGGCCAGCTCAAGGGAGATACTGTGTGTTGGGGCAGCCCAAATGCTTTTTTAACAAATTAATTTTATTGGTACCTTTAAGGTATACAATGTAATGACACTCATCACTGAAAATCTGCACCTTTACATAATCCATCTTCGTTCTTATTTTTCCCCATTCCCCTGCCCTCCCTCCAACCCTTCCATTTCTCCCTATCTACAAAGACTTTGTTTCCATCATTTTTCATTTTCTCCTATTAATTCCATTCCCTTCTTTCCTTTCCCTACCCCTGCCATTTCCCCCTTCACTTTGCCCCTTTTCCTATTTCACATTACTTGTTATACCGTTTACACTTTCAGCTTCTCACACCAGAAAAACTATTCAGTATTTACACTTCTCTGTGGTATTATTTCTTTAATTATTTTGGGAAGATACTCAGCAAGGGAATAGCTGGGTCAAATGGGACTTCCAATCCTAGTTCTTTGAGATATCTCCATAATGATTTCCATAGTAGTTGCACCAGTCTACACTCCCACCAGCAGTGCAGCAGGGTTCCTCTTTCCCCACAGCCCCACCAGCATTTGTTATTGGTTGACTTCATTGGTATTATTTCTTTAATTATTTTGGGAAGATACTCAGCAAGGGAATAGCTGGGTCAAATGGGACTTCCAATCCTAGTTCTTTGAGATATCTCCATAATGATTTCCATAGTAGTTGCACCAGTCTACACTCCCACCAGCAGTGCAGCAGGGTTCCTCTTTCCCCACAGCCCCACCAGCATTTGTTATTGGTTGACTTCATGATAGCAGCCATTCTTTCTGGGGTGAGGTGGAATCTCAGCATTGTTTTCATTTGCATCTCTCACTCTATCCCCTGGGAGTCTAACCTGGCCTTACAGGACTTAATATTTGTCTCCCTGGTTTTTGGTTTAGCTCTGGTTTCATTCATGTCCACCCCCAAATTTTTCCTATAAGAATATGAATATTTACTTTATGCCATTGTTCTTAGAATTAAGTGACTTACTATTTTAATTTCATGAGGTTTCAGAGCTAAGACTACACCTGATGTTTCTGAACAGATTTGGGAATTCTGAACAATTCAGAAACAGCTGAGACTCTAGGGAAGGAGTTATTGCATTTTGAGAATATTTTATTGTGGGGAACTATGACCTTATAATTATGTTTATTTGGTGATTGAGTGTGGTTTAAAGAAATGTTATTAGGTAGCCAGGCATGGTGGCACATGCTTGTAATCCTATTGCTCTGGGAGGCAGAAGTAGGAAGATCACAAGTTCAAGCTAGGCCAATTTATCACGAAGAAAAAAAAGAAAAAAGATATAGGCTGGGAATTTAGTTCCATGTGAAGAACCTCACTGCAATCCCTAATACCACGTAAAAGTATGCTATTAGGCAGCAAATTGACAAGGGGTGCATTTATTCTACCTAATCCTAATTGTTAACCTGACTTAACTAAGAGACTCCTGGAAAGGTGCCTGGATCTAAGGAATACTGTATTAATCAGTTAATTAATCCACTGGTATTCATACCTGAATTGCTCTTAGAGGTAGGGTCCAGTTGAACAATGTAGATCATTGTAGGCATACCTTTTCTAAAAGATATATCTCTGGTTGCCTTATTCCTCCTGTTTTCTGTTTCTTGACAACCATGAAGTGACCATCTTTGTTCTAATATGTCTTTCCTCGACAGATGTTTCTTTCTGGAGCCAGAAGAACATGAACAAAATCTTCTGAAATCATGAGCCAAATGAGTCATTTCCTTCTTTAAACTGTGTGCTACTTGGAGGTGATCAATTCCCCTTCTACCTAGAAAGGTGGACAGCAGTGCTAAAGAGAAAAAAAACAATAGAAACTCATGAAATTTCAAAGTATATGGGGGACAGGGAGGTCAGTACCTCAGAATGGGCAAAGACAAAAACTTTCCAGTCACTTATAAGGTACACACAATAATTTGAGGGAATATCAGGTGACTTAGTGAGCAGAGGTAATCATAGGTCATTAAGGATGCTGATGAAGATCTTAGGTCATGAGGTTTTTATATTGATGAGGACTGTTAAAAGAGCAACAGTAGGTGGGACCAGTTAAGCTGAAAAGGAATTTGTCCCTCCCTAGATGAAACATTTCTCTCTCTCTTCTTTCTTTTATTTAATGAATACTAAGCTCTTAAGGAACCAGTATGTCTTCAGCTGATGCAAAATGGAATTATGTTTCTGCATCCCATAACCAGCTTGAGGGCAAGGTGACACTGAGCCTTAGTCATATTTTAATTATAAAATGATTTTACCAAAAATTTATGTAGAATGACTCTAGACAGTGTGCTAGGTACTTTATTTCAGCAACAGGAGAGCTTCCAAAGAAAACTCTAAATTAAACTTTATCAGAATAAAAATGTCACTTTCATAACATAACATTACCAAAAACTGTGAGATTAAGCCACATGATAAATATTTGCAACAGTAGATATCAGTCAAATAATTCATGTCCAAAGTAGAATATTTTAGGAAAAAGTTCTTATAACAATAGAAATAGGGCTAGGGATTTAGCTCAGTGGTTCGGTGGCCAGCCTTGCAAGTGCAAGGACCCAAGTTCAATCCCTGGTACAAAAAAAAAAAAAAAAAAAACAATAGAAATAATACATATAACCCAAATTAACAATATCCGATTAGGAAAGACATGTGACAAAAGAAAATATACCAGTTGTAAATTGACACATGTAAAACAGCTCAACATAATTTTTCATAAATTAAATGCTCAAGATTACAATGAAAATAAAATCCATCAGTTGGAGACTGGATAAGAAGGTGTGGTTTTTCTGTAAAATGGAATACTACTCAGCCATAAAGAATGAGAAATCAGAGTCATTCATAGGAAAATGGATGCATATTGAAGCCATACTCTTAAGTGAAATAAATAAGACACACATGTAAATACTGAATAGTTTCTCTGGTGTGAAAAACTATAATTGTACATAAGATCCTAATGATATAATTGACAAGTGAAATAGGAAGAAAAGGGCTAAAAGTGTAGGGGAAGTGAGAAGGGTAGGGGAAAGGAAATAAGGGAAAAGAAAAAATATGAGAAAATGAAAAAATGGAAATAAAGTATTTGTAAATAGGGAAGGGAGAAAGGGGTGAAGAGAGGGCAGGGACAAGGGGCAAAAAAGGAGAACCAAGATCGGTCATGTAAAGATACAAGATCCCAATGATGAATGTAACTGTACTGTGTACCTAAAATGTACCAATAAACTCAATGAGAAAAAAAAACAATGAAAATAAATCCAAGTAATCATTGCTTATGAACTGACGAATGGGGAGACTGATCATAAAGAGTCACACTGACAATTTTGGAAATGACAGAACTACTCGGTAAATAGATATGGATATGTATATATTTTTCAAAATTTATCTAACTTTCCAGTTAACATAAATAAATTTTACCTTGTATAAATTACACCCCTTAAAGTTAACTTTAAAAATTTCACAGGTGCTAATTTAGCATATCTCATTTGGATCAGTTAATTCCTTCTTCTTTATAAGCAATACCCTTTCCTCTTTAAAAACTTCCAATGTTGGGCTGGGGATTTAGTTCAGTGGTTCCACCATCTGCCTCGCAACCACAAGGACCTCAGTTCGATCCCTGGGACCAACCAAACAAACAAACAAACTTCCAATGTTAATGAAAATTAATCCACTGTAGTTAACACCTCACCTATAGTCAATAAAACAATGAATATTTACTGCGACACAATTACTTAGTACACCTTAAAATACCATCCTGAGGAATTTTTGATGGCTTTCAAACAACTCCACCTCTACACCTCCAGAAGTATGTTAGTGACGTACCTAATCCTGAATCTCCACATATGTTGTTAATGTGCTTTTATGAGATTTGTTAAATTTTTTTTCTTCATGAACTGATTTATTTTCTCTGGCAATATATAACAAATCACTTGCTGATCACTTTTTCTCTCAAAGTAACATTGCCAGCACTATCTTGTGTCAAGATTTCTAGGTGTCGAAGCCACTTTGTTACAGAACTTACCTCTTAATCCATGGAAATTTTAAAAACTCCAAGAAAATAAAAGTGTGATTATAAAACACTGTATTGGATTAGAGAGTTTGATAATTTTAAAGAGAATTTAATATTTGCTTCACTATGTATGAGGGTTCAGAGGTATGAAATCCTTTTCAAATAGAAGTGTGTATTTTAAAACATAATCCTTCATTCAAATATTCTGTAATGAGTAAATGAGTCTTTCACAATTAGGCATAAAATTTTTTAGTTGTTTTGAAAGTAGCAATATCAGAAAAACTTGACTTAAAAACACAGTTCTGTCAAATATTACAATCGTTTGTACATACAATATGAATGGACAAAACTTCTTATCCAAAACTTTACCAAATCTGAAACTTTACCAAATCTTCAAATTGAAAATTGATGCAAGTTATTGAAACAATTCATGTTATATTTACTATTTTCCACTGATTATTGTCACTAAAAGGGTTCATAAGAATTTAATTCTATGGATAATTAGGACTCATAATTATATTGCTATAATGTGTTAAAGTAATGAATGTTTTTTATTTATTTTTTGTTTTTTGTTATTGTTTTTTTTTGAGACAGGGTCTCACTATGTAGTTGAGACTGACCTGGAACTCATATATAGCCCAGACTGGTCTCAAACTCACAGCGATCCTCCTGCCTCAGCCTCCGAAGTGCTGGGATTACAGGCATGCATCACCATGCCCAGAAAAGTTTTCTTAAAAAACAATTATATTTAAAAATTTTAGGACTCCTAAAAAAACACTGACATCATCATCTTTCATTCCATATTTTCTTAATTGACAAGGGATAATAAATTTGATTTTAATTTTTTGTGTATTTCCTTTTCAAAATATCATCTTGAAGATATGTTCAATCTAAGAGATGAGCAAAAATAAATTGTTTCCAGCCAAATTTTTACAGGAGATACATATATGTGTGTGTGTGTATATATATATATATATAAAATATATATATGCACACACACACATATATGTATATACATATATGTATACATAAGTGTATATATATATATGTATATATATCAAAATGTAATTATATAGTATAAGTGCTTGCATGTAAAAATTTCTTAAATGAGAGGGCATGGAACATAACTATTGCCTGACTTGGCATAATTTAGAATATAACAATACTTAAAATTTTAGTGAGAATGATGTGAACACACTTGGAACACATTAGGAAAAAAATGGTATTTCACAATAAGCAAATGAACACATTTGCAAAGAATCTGAAAGAGGAATATGGAAGAAAAATGACAATTATAGCTTAAGTGAGTAGCACATATGAGATTAGAAATAAAAAGAATAATGAAAAATAATGTTTAGTTTGCTGACAAGGAATAAACATATGATTAAAAACAAAATGAAGAAACTTGGTACTTTAAGAAACTGGCTAAAATTTTTCTGTGGGCTGAGAAATGATTGCAAACAGTAAAATCATAATATATTATTTATTAAAGCATCACTGTTTGGAATTAAGAATCTTTTTAGGTGTTGAAAGCCATTTACATAATTTTGGGGGGAAAATCATTTCACAATTTAATCATGATTATGGCTTTCTGAGGCCTCAATGGTCCCGTGATCCTGTAACATTCAAGGGCAAGATTACATCAGCCAAAGCCATTGGATTCCTTGAGAAACTAATAGTAAGAGAAAGATTTCACCTGGGGAGGGAAAAAAATCCATTATCAGCTTAACTCATCCCATCTACTATTGTAAGAATGAAGAATGTTTTGTGCATCTCACCATTTAATCAACATAAACTCCTCATTGACCTAAAATTCTCATCAGCAGAAGATCCTTATAGTCATAGTATTACCACCACCCTCTGAGACATCTGATACTCCCTCCCGTTGTAAGATCCTTGTCAATTTAGTATTACTGCCCCCCTCTGACTCATCTGATACTCCCTATGAACCCAATAAATGGCAGGGAACTCGGGGTGCCTTTGTCTTCACAGCCCAGAGCAGCACTGATCAGGCCTCAAATCTAACTTCTTTAAGTCTCGTTTCTTGTCTGTTCTTATTAGCTTTGTGTTCCAGTAGCTCACAGGAGACCAGGACCCACTGTAGGGGTTCTGGTAACGTCCCCTTTCTCATTCCCTATATTTGGGCCCCTAAATATAAACAAGTGTAGTCTCTTTTCAATGTAAGTAAGGTATGAAGCAGGACAATTCATTCACTCCTATAAAGAGGGCCAAATATACTAGCATTGGTTTTAGCAGACATATGAATGGTATTCAGAAATTAAAAGCAAATGAATCAATGTATAGGCATAAGGTCAATAGGCCAGGCATGGCAGCCTTTCTGTATTTCATTTTCTTCTTTTGACTTAAACTAACAACTACCTATATTTCTGTGAAAGTGACAACCATGGGAAAACTGTAATGGAAAGTAAAGTTTGTCCTACTCCCAATGTATCAATTATATTGGCACCCCTAGTTTCCTCCCAGGCATCTATTTCTAAAACTAATTTCACATGGCTTTGTTCCAAGATAACTGTTAACAAATACATTTTTAGCATCAGAATATTTCTTGTATATTAGATTCACAGAAACCAAAATTCTCATATGACACCTTATGGTCAGAATCCCAATTCTCTACTAGGGAGACCAGCTTAGCTCAAGGATAAGAGCAAAGCACAGCTGTCCCCAGAAACCACTTTCAGTAATGGTGGCTGTGTGTTCATGGTAGCAAGAGAATGAAAACCAATAATGGGAATCAGGTGATCACAGGGAGCCAGATCCAAGGAAATATTATTAATTTC